ATTCTATCCCGAATAAAACTGCTACATTAGATTGCATTTTTCATCTTAAGCACAATGGCACAGCCCAGAGAACACAGATCACAGTGACGAAAGTGATGCAAACTACTATAGTAAATAATAATCTTTCATTTATGTTTTTTATTGACTACGTAACGGTACAGATTTTCATTTAGAAAGCCGTGGTCAATTAAGACTGCCCGGGAACATGGCTAAAAAATGCGTGGCGGTAGCTCTGAGGTCTGCGCACAAGCCATCTCCGGATAGATACGATAGTGATCCCACGGTGTATGGATGATTGCAATCAATATTTGACTAACCGTCACAACTGTTTGGTTATCCAGATTAATTTCTGCTCAAACCACCTGCTGTATGTCAGTAGTTCTATCTCCTTGAATAGCAGCATGTTTAATTGTTTTCGTTCTGAAAATGCATCAAGGATTGCAAGAGGTTGGCGGTGGTGGCCAAGTGGTTAGGTCACCAACTAATGACCTGAGTGTCCCGGGTTCAAACCGCTCCACCGCCGCCCCTATTCCCTATGTCTGTATTTTCCCCAGGCAGCCTTTGTATGGCCGCAGCCCCCTTCCTGAAAGTTGATTGTACATTTGTATATTTGATAAATGGAACAAGGAAAATAAAAAGACATTTCATTTCATCCACCCTGTCGATTTCCAGTTATGAGGTTCACACTGTCGCTGAACTAGCTCTAAGTCACATACCCATAGTTCTCAATATAAGGAATCGACCACTATTGTCAGTCGATGTTGACTACTGCTACTAAATTATAAGAACCGTTATCCTTTGGATTCAAAATTTTCGTGTTGGTAAGATATGTGAAAATGTCGATCACAGTTCGGTTCGACTATCTCGCTTCTCTCTGATCTGTGTTGCAACCGTTGGCACACAAAACAGTTCGGAAATTGCCATGAAACTGATTTATTCATAGCGACTAATTTCGCGAAACACTTGCCAAAAATCTCACTGAGATTCGTGAACTGTTGCATTTGGGTTGAAACTCTGTCTCTTTCACCCTAGCGCACTCTATCAGATTCGATGGCGAATGGGTGCGGGTATCTCAAACTAATAGAAATTAATGGCATTCACCAAGAGGACGTTGATGATCACTGTATTTCGAGCATAGTCGACATTAAATCTGAATGTCCTTATTTTGACGCCGCAAACATAAAACGAATACGTTTTGTTCACCAAAAACACCTGATTACCAAACTGTTCATGTCTTCAGACGGTTCGTGGTTTTGTGCACACTGATCAGGGAGGGATCAATGCACAGATGAGCAAACACAAACACTGGTCGCTAGCCGATTTTGCAAAAAACCTAGAGCTAATTAGGTTGCATTGGTTCAACTTTGATTCATATACACGTCGAATAATTTCACATGGCTTTCCGCGTATCAATGTACTCAGATGCGATCGATTTGTTGTGCATAAATAATTTGAAAAAAAATAACATGTGATTCCAAACCATCATGCTTGGTTACATAATTCCACAAGAGTACTACAAATAAATGTGCCAAATACAGTCTCAGTGGTTAGGCCAGAATCAGGAGACAAATCTCACGGCTTCAGATGTGCATGTATATGTTTGTGTTACTATCTGCTTCAAGATACCGCAATGATGAAATCAGGAGTTTTTACTCTGTATGTGTTAATCACCCAATCTGTCTACAATTTCACTTGCTGGTTGGTGTTGTGTTCCCCACCCGGAGGTTTAGCAGTGTGATTCACTCCCGTACGATGGGTTCAGTAAAATAATTTATCCGAACAGTTATACAGAGTACAGTGCAAATAGAACCAAGTTACAAACGAGATCTCTTGTTGTGAACATTTCTGTCCGTATGGTTTGCTCGTTAACGAGGCTTTCAGACAGCACTGTCGTAAACGAGTTCTTCAGTCACTTACAGGGTCCTGTAAGCCGTGTTTTCCAATTCTTATCAGGTAATAAAAATTCCATCATTCCATCATTGCAGTGGACTGGAGTGTATGTACAGGGCCGTCAGATCATCACACATTTCATGTTCTAGGGAATTCCGGTCCTAGCAAGAATCGTAACGAAGACAAAAATCTGTTACCATCAACCTATCCATCATTTAAAACGCGCGCTTCCGGATCTTTAGAAAACACTTGTTGTTTGGGTACTCCAACTATACGGCAGAGCAGATGGACTACGTGCCGATACGATCCGAATGGTCCTCGCAAACCGACGATGGTCAGTTACACTACGGTGCTTAAATCAGGGCCGAAACTGACACAGACTTCACGCTCGTGAGAGCCCATTTTGAGATCAACCTGACAGTTCACCAAAACCCGTCTTATTAATAAGATCAACATCTCATTAACACAAAACAAAGATTAATGAACGTAGACGTACACGGTCAAATCAACAATAAATGGATTGATTGTGTCAACGACTTCTGCACACACGCACAACGTCGGACAATGTAATCGAATAAACAACGCTCCATCCATTTCCAAAATTTTAGCCCTGCGACTGCCTAACAGTGGTTTGAACGACGAATTAGTGTCTGCTGTGTGTCTTGTCGTCAAGACAACAGACAGTTCACTTACCATGGATTCGATCTTTCACTTCTATGTTTAGTAACCGCTGTTTGTGAACATTCGTTCACTGTGATTGATCCACAGTGTTTTATATATTTACCAGTTTGTTTTGCGTCAGTAATTGACCAAGTTAAACGAAACGTTAATATCTTGCGACATTCGTTCTTGTTCGGTATTGATGAAATGAATAACGGGAATCAATATTTCAAAAAACCAAAATGACTTTCACGGAGCTACCGGAAACAGTCTAGCATCTGTCGAATGAAGTCGCTGAAAGAGTAGCACCACCTGGCCCCATCAAGGAGACTGGAGAAAAAGCACTGGGGTCATCCATTAGAGATGCGGGTTAAGGAAAGTTAGCGATGACCTCTGGGCAAAGTAAAACTTCGATTGTAGTGTTTTTCGTTTTTTTCAGTGCGTACCGCTGCTCCTACTACAATCACTACACTACATCGGCATGTGCATATGTCATGTTCTTCAACTTACCTGTGCATTGAGCTGTTCAGTTGGTCTGAACCTGGACAGATACCATAAATTTAGTGAGAAAAGGCTACGTTCACGAACAAAGTGAATGGATAACAATAGAATCAGGTTTGTATATCGATTGTGAAAAGTTCAGTAGCCTCGGTGGGATTCGAACCCACGCATGGACGCCGCCTACGCCTAGCGTTCTTATCAAACGCATATCCCAGGAGTTGTACCAAAGCTTGCCTTAAAGGTAAAAAACACAAAAGAAGGCGTTTGGATAACGTTACCTTACAGACGCTTTACGTCAGAAGCGACCGAACGAATCTTCCGTCCGTTGGGAATCAAGATCGCCCATAAGCCAGCAACAGCCGTGCGATCGTTTCTTTTCAACAACAGGGATCGAGTCGGACAGCACGAACGATCAGGAGTAATCTACGCAATCCCGCGCCTGGACTGCAACCAACACTAAGTAGGTGAGACAGGTAAACAATTACGCACTCACCTACACAAACATGAGCTTGCCCTCCGACGCGCTGACCCGAGATCAAAAATCTGGAACCATTGAGCACGAACAGGTCACGAGATCGTGATCGATAACACAGAGGTGATGGAGCGAGCTAAGAAGGGGGAGGGATTATTCCCGTCCAAGCTCTACACTCGATCAATTCGTTCAACCGAGATAGACAAACATTCGTCACACTCGCAAAGCCCGTAAGGAATGGTGGACTGATATACGTACAAACCACATCCATATTCAGATCTGAGTACGTACAAACAGTACACAGGCGCACGGAAAGACGGTAATCCCATTATCTCATTCATTTTATATGCGTTTGACAACGCGACCTAGTTTGGATCGAAACGTCACAATAAACATTTTACAACTCAGTGTACGTTTCCATTATCTCTGAATATATATAAATATACATATACATATATATATTGTCTAAACAGTCCCACAGAGTACATTTTCAAATAGAACAAGGAGTGGCGAACAAGCTCGTTTTCAGTGGTTCGTAGTTATGCCAAATACATCACAATAGATATTACGCAATATTACGTTATATTTATTGTGATGTATTTATATATATATTTCATTATGTATATATTTTGTGAAGTGGCCACTTCACACGCACTGATGATGGCACCTCGGCTGGTGATGAAACGTTTGCAAACAAATTGCCAGGCTCGGCGAACAGGTGAAATGGAATTCAGTTCACCCGAGCTACGAGAACCCATTTTCAATATTTTGTCAACATATACTGAAATTGTTGTTCTCAACTGCTTCCGTAATCACTATCGTTTCCTCGTATCTTGTATTCGATCATAAGAGGGATAAATAGTTATAAATGTGTCCATACTATCTGAGCCTACCATACACACTAGCGACATATCTCGTAGACACGGAGAGTTAGTGTATTCATGGTAGGAACAGACAGTTTAACCTGTCATGTCAACGTGAAATCAACCGACGCGACTAGCGCGAGTAGCCTAGTGGTAGTATGTTTGTGTGTAGGGCTCGTTATGGTCACGGGTAGGTACCTCGCGAAATGCTCCTATACGACCAAGCGTCTCGAATAGCCTCTGCTGAGGAAACCCTACTCACTGCCTTCAAAGTGAGAGGACAAAATGCCGACATCCGGGGCGATAGTCGGTTTGGTGGACCATTGGTAGTTCACCTAGGAGAGTTGGCCAAAAAACCTGATTACAAGCCAATCAACAAAAGGAGTACGAACCATACCCACAGCTTTTCGATTGTGGCAGTGGTCACCGGCTCAATTGGGCACTTTAGACGCTTGACCCAGTCCAAAGGGCAAATGATCTGATGAACCGGACACCGGCTCCCAATGGACTGCAGTTTTCACACCGCCCCGCTACCTTGCTGGTCAGGCTTTGGCTAGCCGAAGGCTCCGGTTGTGGATTCCTCACGAAAATTCATCTGCCTTGACCTAGGCGATCTGGCAGTATTCATCCCACAAGCCAATCGTGGAATGTTTTCCTTTTTTATAAAGATAATTGTACCATGATGTGTGTGGTACACAGCCTGTCCTCAGACAAGTGTGAAATGTACTATATGATAATAGGACTCGCAGTCTTCTTCTACCAGGTTAGAGTTATTGCAGACTCGATAGATTCACATTTCTGACGATTCCTAAGAAAGACCAGACAGCTGTGAGTCGGTCACGTTGACATCGAATGATGATTCGCTTTCCGATCATTAATGTGAGACGCAATCGATAACGTTCAATTAAATACAATCAGTTGTGAAGAAAATCAAAACGCACGCAGTTTCCTCTGTGGGTTCAGCATCTCTTTTTATGAGTGCATACAGTTGTGCGATCAACCATAGACATCTGCTTTACCGCTTGATGAAACCAGCTTTCCCCACCCTCACGCAGGCAAATGGCGACATCACGTGACTGAGAAGTTGGAGTGCATACTCGTAATTGGAAAACCGCGTAGTTAATAATTTGATATGTGATGAAAGCTCCTCCCCCACACATATATTAATACGAATATACAGAGAGCAAACAACTTCTTCATCCTGGTTGATTTTACCCGTCCCTGTCAAACATCATACACAAGATGGTAGCGTTCCTTTGCATTTCCACATTGAATACTCAATAGGACAGTGCCACCGTAAACTCATCAATTTACCGATTCTCAGCAAATTCAATTGATGGTCAGAAAATCTCTTTGGACGAGTACCGGGGCAAAGTTTGCCTAATTGTGAACGTGGCATCATTGTGAGGCTTAAGTGCCAAAAATATGCCCCAGCTCGAAGAGTTGCACACACTCTTTTTCGAGCGAGGACTACGCATCCTTGCGTTCCCGTCCAATCAGTTTGCTAATCAGGTTGGTCTATACAACCCGGGTGGGCCCAATTACAAACACCGATTCTTTGCAGGAACCGGGTAGTAACGAAGATGTCAAGAAGCGTCTGCTCGAGAAGTACAAGATAGGCTTTCAACTGTTCGAGAAGGTGGATGTGAATGGCTCCAATGCTCATCCGCTATTCCACTATCTACAAAATGCCCTTCCCGGCACACTGATTAAGTAAGTCTAAAATCAATGGTTGGTGTGGTGAAATAGAAATTGTTTAGAACTGTACTGTGATTCGAAAAGAACCGAACGATATTCGAGTGTTGACATACAGCTACAGTGAATAACCAAACAAATGACTATCAGTATCGACGGCCACGAAGCCTTTGCGTGACTGGTTTGAAATAGTCCGATGTCTGTCGGTTCTCATCCACACACCTTTTGGATCGCGCTGTTCTCATATTTATCTATTGTTGTTTGTGCGAGATACATCAACCATATTAGTTTCGTACCTTTTTATTGCGGTTGGTTTCCACAATAATTCGTAGAATGATGACTTGTAAAATGATATTCAGCCTTGGTCACCACTGTCTGACAAGCCAAAATGTGATTTTGCTCTCCTGTGCAATGATGCGTCCCTCTACATACCCGAAGTGGTTGCGTAACTACGGTTGACCACACACTGAAACAGATGACCAAAACATATTCAAAGTTTAAGCCACATTCAGTGAGTTAAGCCACCTTTGGTATCTAAGCGATGGTTCGCTTGATTAGAAAAGTCGTGAATAATATTGTGCTACAGTGCAGCCAGTGCTTCTGAACAGTCGTGATACTCCAACAAATCAGATGTAAGATATTCATCGATTGCCGGATTTTGATCGTTCACATGCGCGCAACTTGGAGCGGGAAGGATGGAGTAAATGAGTTACCGACACCAACTTGAGCTGTCATCTATTTGGAGCTGTTTTTGTCGCAAGAAGTTACTCGAAAGTCGTGATTGTCAGTCACTCTCAACATGGTTCGGTGTGTCAAATCATCGCCAGGAATGAGTGAAACGTGCTTTTTATCGTTCGGTCGTCTGAATCGAAGATGACTCCTCGTATATCACCTCAGACTTGTCCTCCGTCACGACTTCGATCAACAGAATTTCGTTTGTTTTCTACTTGGAGAAACCCCAATTTTGCACTTTTTTATCTGAAGGATATTAAGTGTCAGCGTTTTGAACGAGCTTCCTTGCTGATCGGTGTTTATTATATAAATGAATAACCTAAACTGCCATTCAGTGTTCTTGACAAGTCATTTCCTGGCTACCAAGCTTCGAAGCAGTGCGTCACTGGGACATTCCATTCCGAAGGAGCGAATCGATCGAAGCTTGAGTTGAATATTGCCTTTAGATCAAGGAACACTGTGATCGCGGTCAACTTTATGAGAGACGTAACTCGGGGACTTAACTCAACGTGAAGGTTCAGTCAATGCGACCATAACCTGGTCGAAATTGTCTGCTGTTCACTGATACTCCTCTCCATTAAGAGCATCAAGCAGTAGATATTTCAGAAGTAAACACGTTGGTAACTAACGAAAGTAAACTTGTGAAATCGTCGCGTATTCCCTTCCTGGAGTCTGAAACAATCAACGATACAGCTCACAGGGATAGAATACTTCCTTACGGCCAAACATTGTGCAGTAAACCAATAAGAATTGAAATTGAAACATCGTTTCCCCCATATATTTTCAAATACAGAATTAGAACAGACAACGGAATCACCTCTTTTCTTAAGTAACGCGGAGAATACTGTCGGAGAGGAGTGTTCTTCCTTTCTTCAGTGAGTGAATGCAGCGTTGCATAT